TGGTGTGATGCTGTCAGACCAGAATGATTGATGTGTGTCCTTAAATTGCCCTCCATCCCAACACTGGAGGGAACATTTGAAAGACTGACAGCTTTTCCCTGTTAGGCTTTTCCCTTAAATCATGTTTTATGATGTACTGTAAAATAAAGAATTTTGAGATTTTAAAAGCACATGTAGCTATCATGTCTTATGTTTTCTGATGAAAATTTGCTGTAAAGCAGTGAGATCCTCTGCAGTGGTTATTGTAGCAAAATAAACAAAGGCATTTAGAGTCTACTCTGATCTTGTATTCTGGTCAGGTACAGGCAAACTTTAAAGAGAAAATGTAAGGTGTCATAGTGAACAGCATGTATTGCATATTTGAGCATAAGGGAGCTAAATCATCTTAGTTCTTGTTATAACCTAGCTGGGTACGTGCTGCCCATGGCTGCCTGCTTTCTCAGCAAGTTTTTAAGTGGATTATTAACTAAGTGTAAGGCTGTTTGCAGCATCTTAAGTTTGACAGACATGTGATTGTGCAGGGGGAGGGTAGGGGAAAAGGGTGGCTGCTTTCAGACAAAAGCTTCTCACAGATTAATGTCTTCCAAACTGTATTTTGTAGTCTTGTTCCAGATTAAAAATAGATAAAACAAACATTATAGAGGTTTCATGCCCAAACAATAACTGTTCTGTTTTGATTTTTTTTTTTTCTTTCCAGAACTGCCTAATAAAACATGATGAGAATGGATACTCAGCAATAGTGGGAGACTTTGGTCTAGCAGAGAAAATTCCTGATCACAGGTATGTGAACTAATCCAAACAGAGGAAGAGTTGCAGTATGATTGCAGGTCAGAAGCTCCAGTGGGCTTGGATCCCTGAGGCTGTTACTGCATTCTGTACAGAATTTGCACAAAATATCCTCAGTCTCCAGTCTGGAAGTGCAGGCTGGATTACCAAAATGTTCCAGCTTTAATTACTGTCCATTTTGATATGTATTCTTCAAAAATGCTCCCGTAAGTAGAGGATTGTCGTGGATTTACTCAAGCTTTGCAGTAGATCTTTTAAGCAGGTGCTTGGGAATTTTGGTTTAAAAAAAAAAAGCCATCATAACAAAGCAAACACAAAAACAGTGTCCAGCATTCTGGGTTGAGATGATTTTGTAATAAATGTCATTTGTTGATTCCAAACAACTTTAGCTGCTTTCCATTTGCATAAACAATATTCAGTGGCATTCCAGTATTATTCTGCAGCCTTTGGGCTGGTTGTTAAGATCCAGGTTTGTAACAAAGGGTAAAATAAATTAATTATAAAATGACTGTCAAACAGCAGCTCACCCATTTTACCTTCTCTAGTATGAAATTATAGTCTTAACCTATTTGAGGAGTGCCCAGGTGACTGTCACAAGCTATTGTCACAATTGGAAATAATTCTTTTGTCATCCCTCCATTAGGAAAATCAGAGACAAGGATTTCATTGTTCTCTCTGTATATTGACTCGTGTATTTCAGAGTATTCTGACTGTGAAATGTGCTGTCAGATTTTCTCCAGTGTAAAACAAATAAAAGCCTTCCAGCTCTTTTGACTGCAAAGGAAACACTAAAAGCTGACCTCAGCTATGCACAGTTCTTAAACTGCACATATCCTAAATCTGTATCTTGAGAGGTCTGAAGGCTTGCATTAATGTTGGTAAAATACTGATCTAAAAGCTTAACAATGTGAACATCTTAATTTCCAAACTACTGATAAATACAGCCGTGTAGATCTTCAGTTGTATTTGAACAAACCCTCTACAAAATCAGGAAAGCACTACAGGTGCCTTAAGGTGTCCTTAATACTCAGTTTTGAGATGCCCTGAAAACAAAGTACAGTAATACCTCAAGTTAAGGTGGGTTGAGACTGGAACAAGCAGCATCACAGAATTGCTACATTAGCCACCACTTTGGTTTGATCTCCTCTGTCTCCAAATGCAGCTTTGTTGTTTCCAGTTTGCTGGTAGCAAGCCATGCTATTTTGGGCCCTTCAGATGCCTTTGTTCTTTCAATAGGTCCCTCAGTAGGGACCTGTTTTTCAGTTCCCTGAAGGTCAGCTGGGTGGCAAGCTGGAGGCCTTTCTTAGGGCCCCAGCATTCAGCCATATGGAAACTGCAGATTTTCAAAATCTGGTCTATTCTTATTACTTTTTCCTTATGAAAGGATTTATCTAGTCAATCACGTTGGTTTTTTTTAAAGCACAGTTTGTGGGCAGGCCCTGCTGAGTGC